CTTTCGACACCGACGTCCGAAAATCAACTTGCATCTTTTGCCCCAGCAGCTCGCGGATGCTGCGCCCGGCCGAGACTCGTCGCCCTGGGTCTTTCTCCTGGCCGCTGCTGCCCCCTCATCGCCACTAGGGTTCTGCAGACTCAACGACCCCAGACCATTTGCCCAAGCTGGGCCTCTTTTCCCGCAGGTCTCGACCATTCTGTCTCTCTTGTCGCCCTGCCTAGCCTAGCATGCCACCCTTTCGCCTCAACATCAACTACCAAATCTCACTGAATGACCCGAACCCCCCTGGATTCGACCATCCTCCCGAACCCCTTCACTATTAGGTGAATAATGAACTTCGATTCCAAATCCGTGGCTTCGAGCTCAACGGGTTCGGGCTCCAGCCGAATGTACCAAAAGAAGGATCGTGGCCCTATCGCCGCCATTGTAAGTTCAGCCCCACTCCTCGAACCTATCCATACCATCTCTAGCCTGGCCTTGTAGTCTTCATGTCTATCACCCCAAGAGCTTTGGACAAGTGCCCAGTAGTAGATGATGGAAGGGTGAAGGGCCGTTGCCATGATCCGCGAGAACATGCCGTCGTATTCGTTCTCTTCTCTCTAGCCGTGACACGACTTTGGCCTAGATTCAGCCTGACATCTCTGTAGGCATGTTCGACTTGTCGTACTAGGAAGCAGAAATGCGACGAACGCAAGCCAACCTGTGGCTTCTGCGAAAAGAAGGGGCTTGACTGCTTCTACGGAGACCCAGTACCAACGAAGTAAGTCAGCGGCCCTGGCACGACTCCTGGGAGCTAGATCAAACTTTGCAGCCCTCTTTACTCGTCTCTCCTAGGCTGTAGCGAGCCCATGATCACGTCCTAGAGCAACGCTGTCAGCTCAGTCTGGACATGCTAACTGGCAATAGAAAAGACAAAAGCTTGGTTGAACTACTCGAAATCGTGAAAAACATCAACGACAACACCAGTCAAATACCGCAACTGTTTGCCCAGCTCCAGAATATGCGGATCAGCGTCTCGTCTTCTTCACAGTCTGAAGATAGTGGCGACGACGCTTCATCGACAAGCACTTTGAAGGCCCAAGGCCGGCCTACCCCGAAACCCTCGCAGCAGGTCCCATACCGATATGCATCTGCAGTCACCAAGATGATGGCGTGGCCTGCGGTGCGGCAGAAACTAGAAGACGTCCAGCCCAAGATACCGAACCTCCAATCCGCCTTCCGGGAACCTGACTTTCCATCCGAGTTGTTCCATCAGCAAGGCCAAGACCGACGCCTCCCTCGAGGCGGGCTAGAAACGGCGAGCTATCATGAGCGTATATCGCTGGGCTTACCGATGGAAGAGCAAGTACCGCGACTGACGGGGATGAGCTACACAACGCTTGTGGACCGCGTCAACACGTATTTCGATACTTTCAATCGGATCCATCCTGTTCTAGATCGTCAATATTTCATGGAGAAAACACTACGGGACGTTATCGGAAGCGAGTTCGAGGAAAATGCGGCATCTACGTTGGTGTGTCTAGTGTTGGCCCTTGCCGAGGTGGCCCTCGTCGGGGGATCGGGCGGGGCGTTTGCGGCCTTCGAGGACCACCCTGCCGGTGAACCTGTCAGGACAACAAACGACTTGGAATTCCGACCGCCGGGTATTTTGTTCTTCAACGAAGCACGGCGGCGTTTGGGATTCTCAATGACAGAGTGTGCTTTGGAGAATGTCCAGATGTATATTTTGGCGGGGTAAGTTTCCCGGAGCCGGGCCCGGCCGCCCGGGCCGCACCTCGGTGTGCGGACCTCCCGTATGGTGCGAAACTTTGACTAACCCGGAATTGGCTTGACCGACAACAGGCTGTACTATGAGTGCTGTTCTCGGCATGTGGTGAGTAAACACATAAGGAGAAGAGTGTCTGGACAAATTTGGCTGAACCAAAATCTCGCGTAGGAGTTCTGGAGAATGACCATATCGGCGTCCCTGGCTTGCCGTGCCTTGATTGCCAGGTAAGTAGAAGCAGCAATGATGGTGGTGGTCTGTCTGTCTGTAGCCTGGGGCTGTCTGAGACTTTTAAATGGCTGTGGTAAGGTGCTGATCCGGAAATGGGCTGACGGACCTTTGTAGTAACTCTGCCGAACTTCGCTCAGTGCGCGGCGATCAGATCCGCCGCGCCTTTTGGTATTGCTCCATCATGGAAACGTACGTGCATCGCAGATTTACAGTCCATCCCGAGAACCCCAACCCACGCCTCCTCTCCTGGCCCCATCGAGCCCCCAATCCCATGCCCCTGTACTGCCTATGGATCTTTGGCCAAGGCAGCCTCAGCTCGCGGATGGGCAAGGGACCTCTGTTGCACCAGCCTCTTTGCTATTCTGCACTCCTTACTCCGTATACCTTCAGCTGTAGCAAAGGTTGCTTTTCCCGCTACAAGAATCCATCATCTAACAACCGGTGCTTTGCTGCAGCGGTCTTCACTTGGAACTTGACCTCCCTTTAACCGGCCTCGAGAAGCTGGAGGCAAGCATGCAACTGCCAACATTTTCGGCATATGCTCATACCGAAGATGCGAGTTTGAGTCAAAGTATTCACAACGACAGGAGATCTAACTGTGGTGAGATATTCCTACACCAGATTTCATTGCGAAACTTGGGGGTCAAGATCCACAGTAGCCTGAGAAGAAGTGAGTTGGAATCCCTTTAAAGCCCCGTTGTCCCCATCCTGGTTTTGGACCCTCTCTCCATTTCCGTCCATATTTCCATTTCCACTTTCTTCCCAGCCTGGTCGACGCACGTCGATAACGCCTTGTTTGGAGTCTCCATATGCGCTTGGCTTCGTATTCTTGGTTTTTTTGCCACCTGCTTCTGCCGCTGATGTGCGCCTCGCGTATGGGACCTCCCCCCCTCCCCCCGGGGGGGGGGGGATGGGCGCAAGTGCAGCGAGCCGACCTCTCCCCATGTGTCTCATCGCAAGAAATCCCCAATATTTTGACCCCCACTGACACGATGCATATGCACCAGTTCTTGGAGGATCCACTTCGAGATCAAACTGGAATTCGACTGATCTGGCCGACTCTCTCGAGGATCTAGTTGGCGATTTGGCTTCGCAGCTCGACCAATGGCACACTTCTTTGCCCAGCGTCTTGCGTTGGGATAGGACGCAACATTTGGATGCATTCCAGGCATCCTTTCCCGTCCTCGATCCTCAGGTCCCTGACCAGCACTTTTACGCACCGCCATCCTTGTATACCGCCGACGCCATGGAAGGGTTGCAGTCTGCCCCCATGCTGGGGTATCTCCATGATTCACTCTACACCAACTCGAACGATGTGCTCGAAGCTATTCTCCGGTCCCGATTCTACCATCTCGAGTACTTACTATTCCGACCTTTTGTGTACAAAGCTCTCCATACACGAGTAGAAAACTTGACTGAGACAGACTTGTCCGCCACCAAGAGGTTTTTGGAAGCATGCCTCCTCTGGCCCATCATCCTTCCGCCGGCCGCGCAGCACAAACGCATGATTCCTTGCCTCTACTTTTGGTCCCAGAACATCCTCGGCATACTCATCTTCTTGCACCTGTCTGCAACACATCCCACTCTCTTCCAAATTCGACAGAGCCGTTGCGACTCAACTTTCGACGAGGCAGCGAACATGACGATTACGCAGGGTATTAATTGGCTTCGGGGCCTCAAGGACGAGGATAGCTCTACACGGTGGTGTTGGACCGTTGTTCAGGGCTTATACCCTGACAGACCAATCATGCAACAGTAGAACCGGGTCGCTATGGGCCGATGAACGAGAAAGACGAGACTTCGGGTAGCGTCACCAACGAAGCGGCCCCAGTAGTCGAAGGCCGCACTTAGACAACTTGGGAAACGGGGATGCCCACGATGCACATATCGAACTGTGGATGGTGCAAACACGCGTAGAGATCTAGCATCGGGAGACGCAAGGTTGCATTCTTCATCGGGTACATGGCGTTCTGGTTTTCGGGGCACACGACTCGCATCATCGGTATCATTTTCATCACTATATGTATGAACGACGCACTTGTTTGAGTGAGCAAGCCAAGCGATAACTCTCTGAAACGCATGGACGGTCATAGAAGTAAAGAGGTGTTGGTGACGTTGATGGCCCCATGGCATCACAGGATTAGCATATGGCTTGGAGCAGGCGAGAGCTGTCAGTCCAGCTTGACATTTGCACGCTAGACGCCAGGGAGCCTTCTATTCTTCGTAGGGTATCTGCAACTTGATTAATTCAAAGGTATCTCTTCTCCAAACCAACTATATATCCGTTTCTTGCATTCCTCCAAGGGTGGCTGGCTGATGGCCCGTCGTGGGAGCTTAACAAACACTCTTCTTTGGACCTACCCTTCATGCTCGAAGGATGATGGGTAAGAATAGGTGGGTAGTGTGCTCCGATAGGTTTTACCTAAGAACCCTGCACCACTTTACGTTTGCATCGAAGAGTGTTGATCTCTTATGCGAGGCAGAGAAAGTAGAAACACGGGACCCCTAGGATGGAATGAGCGCCGACTTGCCTTAGAATTGACGGCAGCAATGTGATGGCGTAGATTCACAATATGCGCCTTCCCTGCTCCAAAACGGACCTGATCTGCTTAGCTGCTTCCTGGGATCTAGTGACAGGAGTGACAGTCCTGCAAGGCATTTCGATGGCAACGAAGTGCCCCCCGCAGCTGCACCAGAAACGCGCGCGATTCGTTGTCCTCCCGCCGCTTTTGTGTTGATGTTTGGTCGAGCAGCATCTCTAGTCACAGCACTGCCCGCCAGAGAGAGTGCCGACAACATTCTTTTCTATGGAGTGAAGGGCTTGAAGCCAGCGGCTCGACCATCAGCTCCGATACGAATAGCTTGTACGTATCATTTAGAGGGGCCTTCTGCATCCCTCATTCGCTGATATGGAGCACAGCATCACTAGAAAGTCGCATCAAATATCCCGCCATCGGCGCCGACCTCATGAGACATTCCTCCACCTACATCATAAATCATCATGGCGATTCCAAACCCTTTCGTCGTGTACAAACGCGACGCCAGGCAACTCGCATACTGGATGATCCACGCATCCAACTTTATCTTCAAGACACGGAAAAGGGACCACGGCGCTTGGGAGTCGCCTATCGAGTTCAACACAACCGGACAAATCCATGTCGACGATTTCCCAACGGTCGCAAAGTTCGTGATCAAGCACATGCAGGTGATACCGCCTGCTATATTCCGCCTATTTAGGTCCGTCATCGACGCGAGGACGGAGCATCTGGCCTTCTTGCGACGCATCGTAAGCGAGGAAGACCCTCAGTACGGCAAAGACATCAAGATTCACGATACGTTTGTCCGACTCGTTACGGAGGCTTTCGTTGCCCTCGGCGGAAATGCCTGGGTAGAGACCGAGCAGCCACGAGGCGGGAAAGGTCGACCGAATACCAGCAACTTGACTCCAGAAAAACTAGCCGACTTCATCAATTTCTCAGCATTGGATCTAAAAAGCCTCAGCCTTGACAGCTCAGAAGAGAATTCAAGTGACGCCGTCCCTGTTCCTCTTCGTGGATCCCAAAGGCGAGCCCAAGCGAAATCGGGTAGAGGGGGCAAGGGCAAGAAAAAGCCGAAGAAGGCTCCAGGTGCCCTCTTGAACCAGGTGCCACTTGAGCAATGCAGCATCGTCGAAGTCAATGGCATTGGAGAAGCCGAGTCATTCATGGCTGCTTGTGCAATCGCCAAAGAGTGCGTCATCCTCAGAAACTATCTCCAGAATATCTGGCGCGAGGCAGCGTACTGTGGGTTGCATGGTGCTATTGCTGGCACATTGTCTAAAGTCGCTATTGAAATGGTCTAGGATACCGAATTGGAAGTCTTCGGCGAGGTTCCAGAGTTACAATCGTACGAGACGTTTCTGGCGGCCATCATCCGTGGAAACCTCGAGGCTGCACAAGGCTCATTCATCAAAGCTTTGGCAAAACTGAGTCCGGTAAGCCAGCATGAAGGAACCAAGACGACCTCTATCGACTTGAAAGAGTACATTCAGCTTGGCACCTACCGAGATCTTGTTGATTTCATCGAAGACTATCAACAGTCAGAGGATGGGAAGCCTACTACGAAGATGCTTGTCAAGATCAAAGACTGGGATCCCACGCTAGACTTACAACATACTACGAAGAGGGAAAGATTGAAGTGGCGGAGATCATACACAATCAACTGGCTCTATGATCTCGTCAACTCCTATACAGCCCCTAAACGCCGTGATGGAGAATGGGTGCGACTTGAAAACTTACCCAACTGTCCATTGATGGGCTCTGAACCGCTTCTTGGTCTTCAGGATTTCGCATGTTTTGTTACTTCGTTATTAATGAAGAAGCCAGGAACGGATTTTATCCAAGACATCATGCCTCATCGCGTCTTTCAGCTACAATGCATTGTCGATGCTTTCACCGTATCATGTGGCTGGACCAACACCACTCGGCGGGGGCACGTCCTTGGACCACGATCTCCTGATATGTTTGGTCCGATGAAAGACATTGATGGGTTTCTGGGACGGAGACCCGTAGGAAACAGCAACCAGGAGCGCAGCGGCAATGGCAAAGACAGAGGCAAAGGCGGTACAAAGCTGTACATCGGTGACATTGAACTGTCTATCGGCGACAACACAAACGATGACGGCAATATTCATAACGACGACAAGAAGTTGGGGGTCAGCAATGGACTTCTTCGGTCTGCCAACTTGATGGCTCACTTTTACGGGGCAGAACTCCGTAACGCGCATAGGCAACCCATGATGGGTTTCTTGAGCGTCTTTTGCAAAGAATTCGACTTCCTGGGCCAGTCAGTACCAATGACTGGCGACATACTCCCAACATCCCGCTTCGATCATACCGGACCCAATGGTATGTGGAGATACTCTCCGTACCTCTGTGGCGTGGGAGTTATGGAGGGCCTGGAAAGGGTTTACCGCACAAGCATGCTCATCTGGGACAACCTAGAGGAACCGACGGCAATGATACATCTCCACAACATGCTTGTACAGCGTCAGCATATTAAACAGCCTTTGGCTCACTATCAAGTACTACAAGACATGTTTCAAGACAGCTTCTTTCTTGACGGCGAAGCTCCACGGTCCAACTTTGCTGAAGCCTTTCTTGGTATTGGAGAGCTCCTCTGGGGTGCTGAAAGAGCGAAACAAGAGCCGGCCCTCCCGGCATCAGCGGGATACCATCGCTCAATCGACGTTGGCAGAAACTTGGCCTTCAATACCAAGTCTCATTTGTTGCTTTACCGAGAAGCGAATTGGCATGTTGAATGGATACCGGACAAGGAACTCAACCCATGGACTCGTTTGGCCTTGCTACGCGCTTCGAGACTGGTTGCCTGTTCTCCTCTGAATCGCGTGACCACGGATCAAGAAAACATACTTGATCGTGTCAAGAAAGCTTTAGGTGTAGACGATCAAGAGCTACTGTCCCGAAGGAACGCCCTGTTGAAGAAGCTCGGTCAAACACAGTCTAACCAGTCCAGTACCGGCCCGAACGGTATGCCGGTTGAAGTCGTGTCCGGGGATCGCGTTAAGCCTAGTCGAGTGCAAATACTCGATTTGATCAAAAAGGACTTGTACGACGATATTTGTGGGAACCGCTCCTACTCCACGCTCAACTACATACTGTTGTATGTCAATATGATCGAAACCTTTGAGAAGATCGAATATGAACTTGCAAGAGCACAAGATTCCGACTGCCAGAGCATCCTGGAGTTGGAGACAAGACTTCGCATGGTTGATGGATTGCTGCGGAAAGAGCGAGAAAGGGAAAGCGTCAAGATTGTCGCAAAGGTCTTGGAAGCTCAGAGAGAGTTGCCATGTCGCTATCCCCGGAACGAGAAGCCAGTGATACCATCGCCTCGAGGAGAGGATGACTTGGATTATGACGGAGACGAGATGTTGTGCTCAGTCATGTGAAGATGGAGACCCAATTCCGAGCTGAGGTTCCGTGGGGAGGGATGGTTGACTGCATGGCCAAGAGTCTTAAGGGGTTGAGTAGACTTACCACCAAGTCGCAGCGATTGCGTAAATATGGTTATTGGATACTCTTCAGTTGACAGCAAAATTTGAATGGGACTTTCAGCGATGAAGAGCGGTCTAGTGAGCGGCCGATGATGACTTGAGAGGACTCTGGTGAACGTGTCGTGAGAGCTGGAGGTAATCCATTACCATCACTCCTTGCACGTGGGTGTCGCTTATTCACAAAACGTGACTCGTGACAGACAGATGGCGAAGGGTCAAACAAGGTGAATTGAAGAGCATCATTATAGACGTACGAACTTCAAAGCTCTTAGGGTCACGTCGAATTCGTGGTGACTAGCCCTCTCCCGTCCTGCTCATGACGTCTCTCTGCCCACACCGACTGTTGCCGAACAACTGCGTTTGGAACTTGGCACATATTCGTAACAGGCTGTTGGTCTTTAGAGACGAATGAGTGGAAGTATACCGACGACGTGGGACCGGGAGCTTGGTGACTTCGATGTCCGATCTTGAAGCGGGGGGGGGGGGGGGGGCAAGGTACAGACGGTATCGAGGACCATGGACCATGTCCGGGGTTTCCACGTCCTGAGAGATATCGAGGAGGTTGTCACGGATTGAGGAGTTCGACATTCGAGGCAGGACATCCACGCGTCCTAGGCGTAGATACCGTGTAAGTGGGAGTTAACCTGGACGAAGTCAAGACTGCCTGCCCTACTCACGGCATACTCGCGGCAAGTGTTCAGAGCGGACCACGATCTCTCGACTTCACGCATCATGGCAGCGGAAACTCGAAGAGTCTCCGTACAGAATCCTTTCAACCCCCAAGACGACGATCGCGATATACCCAGCGTTAACAAACCTTCCTTACCTCTTACAGTCTTACCTTAGCTCACGATCCCACCACAACCCCCATCAACCCCGCCAACGAACCTAAGAAAACCGCAGAGCGGGGTCCATCCGTTTTCCACCGCTTTCCCTTGATCGTGAGATTGCTGCTCCAGTACCCACCATGGAACCAGCACTTGTAGTGTAGTGGTTATCATCCTCGCCTTCCACTTCCCAATCTCGGGATCTCAGAATCAGCGAGGGACCCGGATTCGAATTCCGGCAGGTGCAATCGTTTTGCCTTTCCCCCCCCCCATCTTTAACTCCAACTCTTCTTGAGAGCTCACTATGCCGTTGCATTTTTACTCTCATTTCCCTCTTCCAATCGCTCAATCTCTTGCATCCTTGTCTCCGCTCGTGACAATTCTTCGTATCCACGATGCATGAAAGTCGACATTGGCGTTGCATATACTTTCTTCACACATTCGTCGTCAGACGACGGCGGGCCTCGAGAACAGGTCTCGATAGGTCTCGTGACCAGTAGTGTCCCGCGATAGCGAGGTAGTGAGGGTTGAAATGCGTCTCGATGGAGTCCAACCTGAACTCAATGTCTCTCGATCATGAGACATTTTTTACTAAACTCCGTGAAAGAAGGCAAATATCAACAGGGATGATGAAGGATAGGGCGAACGAACAGTGAGTGATATCCAAGTGTACTTACACCAGATGTCAAAGTTGCCTCTGTCCCACTTCTCGAGCGATGGCTTTCCCTCCCACATGGGCATATACACACATATACACACGCCTCTCGCATCACATCATGTGAGGTGAAGGGACCAATTTTTCGTTCCATGAGCACGCGAACAACGCACCACGCGCGTGCATGCCCTGAGCAATTACAGCCGAGGAACTAAGGCAACTACTGCGGTGCCGAAGGGGAAAAAACGACCTGTAGCGCCAATTCTGCCCAGACTGCGGGCGAAGGCAAAAAGTCGAAGAAGGAGCGGCGCCAAAGCGGGACGTGGGACTCGTTGGGACTTCTCCTGTTTTCTCCTCGCTTGGGGTTTAGTCTCGGTCCATAGCGCGCACGTTGTACTCCGTAGTGCCTCGGATGTTTCTCTCTGTCTCGCTTGCGTTCAGCCTCGCTCTTCTTCCTTTCTTTTTGCTGTTTCTTCTCCCTCCGGATCGATTCTCCTCCGGTTGAATTTCTCCTCCGGGGGTGGGTTGGAAGGGCGGGAAGGGCGAGTCCAGGCATACATATCTCTCCAAGCCCACGATGTCGATGAGGGGGTGTGTCGTCGTTGACCAAAACCCGGACTGGGACGTCAAGCGGATGGAGCCGTGCACACCGTGGCGTCTAGATTAGCCAACGACATTTGATCTCTTCTTCGCGGTGGCGCAAAATAAGGGAAGAGAAAAATTGAACAATGAGGCGTCGTCCCATTCCCTCGGTTGAGAAGGAAGAATCTTGTTAGCCGCCCGCAGCGAGTGGCTTCGACGCTACGAAGTAGATCAGTCAGTTAAACCAACAAAAGGAAAGGATGGTATAAAAAAAAAACCAAGAAAAAACTTGCTCATCGTATTCTCTCCTGTGGCTTTCGGGTAGAAGTGCAACATCGACAAGTCTTGCATGTTACTGCCCGCAAAATCCTGCCCAGCGTGCAAGCCACAGAGAGCCAGCGCAATGCTTGAACCAGGGCGGGATTCGAGCTAAAAAAGGGACCAAAGTCACCAAACCCACCTCAAGGCTCATCGTCCCAACCCCTCTCCCATGTAAGTGGCATGGAAGGTAAACTTCTTACCTCAGTACTGTAAATCCTGAGCTAATTAGCCCACTAAGCCTGGAACTGACAAACGGCATACAACGCTCGCATGCCGCGGACTGCTAGACAGCAGAGCTAGTCGGGCGCTAGGTCCATCGGTGACGTGAGCCGCGAGCCGGGCGCCACTATTGAAAGTATATATGTCGTACGGAACAATTAGAGATTGGAGTAACAATGGAGACGAAGAGAGCCCTGCGGCAGTGGTAGAGTAGGGACGGGTGCGGTCCGGCGCTTGGAGCCGTCACTTCGTTTGTGACTGCCCTTCCCACCTCGTATCTCTATATTTGACCTTTGCTTGCCGAAGGAGGGGGCCAGTCGCAGCAGCATGAGGGGGTATACTGTACAGTTTGACAGTGTACGTACTACCACCAACTTGCTGCCAAACTCACATGGTTCCTTGTCGTCGGGTATCCTGCCATAGGGGGCATCGTCTAGTAGCCGGCAGTGCCATCGGGGTGCGGCTCTTGGTGGGCGTCTGGCCATCTCCCTACACCTCTCTACTCTAGCTCTGGTGAGTTCGGCTATCATTGCTGCCCATTCGTCGATCAGGCTTGCATCTGCCCCTGATAGATGCTCAACCAAATGCTCTAGAGACAATTTCGGTGCCTCGGGTTTGCAATCCACTGGTGGTCACTGGTCCGAGCCGGCCCAATTACGAATCGGCCCGGTGTAGACATTCCGGACTTCAACATGGCATTTGGTCGGAGGAAATAGGCCGGCCATGGTTGCAACATCTAGCACGGAAGCTTCGTACGATTTTCCACTTTCATCTGCCGGGTGCTGCAGTCCTGCTCCGGGATGTCAGAACCAAACAAACCCGCTTCTGGGGTGATGTCGCGCTCTTTCTCTCGCTGTCTTGAGCTGCGCCGTCAAGCTTTCTCGGCCGGGGCTTGGCCCGGCTCGGCATGCAGGTTCCGTTACCGATAACGATGTTTCTCCAAAATGTCGAAATCGAAAGGCACCACGTGCGATGTGGCACGAAGTTTGTTCAGCTTCCCCCATAAAGCAGAATGTAGATCTTCCAGTAGCACAAGCTCGTCTCTAACTTTCCGTCAGGCAGAGGTCTCCAATGGTAATATAGTGAGGCATCCGTTATGATTTCAGTGTGACGCAGAATGACAGCTCAAAGACACTTCCAAGCGCTTACAGTCAATAGAATTGAGAGGAGCACAGACTGGACGCAGCACCGACATCAGACGGCGCCCGTATTCGTGCCACACTTGCTTCTCCGTAACAGGCGCAAAGAACTACCCTCCAGGCTTCTGTCCTTAGAGTCGCCCGCGCCTGGAAGCGAGGCAAAGGCACAAGCGGTCCGGGCCATCGAGCGGGCGATCTATGCTGCTGCATAATGCAAGACTACGTGGGTGGTGCCAGCAGTCTAAGCCTCTGAGCGTGAGTCGGAGATGAAAGCACGCCCGTGCTCGTGTCTCCAATGTCGGTTTTCCACGCCAATTCTCCCGAATCCTTGGACATGGAGGTTAGGCGGCTGGTGCGGGGAAAGACGGCCGTCCGGCAAGGTGATCAAGGGTGCTGACCGAGCGGGCCAGGGATCTTTGCAAGCTTGATTCCGCCTCATCTTGCCGGAGCAGGACGCACGTACGGATAGCCCTCTGATCGTCGTCCAGAGAATCAGGAGACGGGAAGGAAGAATGTTTGCTGGTCTGCGTGGAGTCGACAAAAGGGCTTTTCCGTCCCGACCAGCAACCCAGACAAAGACAGACAAGAGCCACGCGTCCACATCCTCTGAGAAGTTTGGATGATGTTTCAGTCTCCCTCGCGGTCAGACACGGCGGTAACCCAAACAACGGATGCAAGGCGGGGGAATAAAAAGAAGCAATCGTAGGAGTAAACCGATACGGAGCTGCCGGTAAACGCGGGCCCCCGGACGGCCATGTCTCTTCCCCTCCCGGACCGTTCAATCCTCAAGATGAGTGGAGCAGGGCACCGTGACCGTCCACAAAGCCTCCGGGTCATCCGGGTGGGCTGGACCATTCAGTGTCTAGGCGACCCTGACTTAACATGCTTGCTAAGTCACTAACAAGTTGGAAGCTTGTCAAATGAGTTCCCCAATAAGCTCCAGTGCTCCGAAGTTTAAACTTAATTGAGCTCATAAGAACCTAGCAGCAGCCAATGAGACAAGTTATTGGCGCGAGTGGTGCAACGTTATGATTGGTGTGATTTCCCGAAAGCGTACATGGCCAAGGGGGCCGGTCGATGGAAGGGGGAAAACAAAGTAAGGATGGTGGCGCTCATACCGAGTATGATAGTTTGAATCGGGAAGTGTTATGCCACCACGGTTGCAGTGCCATGTATCCGTAGCGCAACAAGCTTCCAGCTTTTCCCCTCTCGGGGTCCTCTTTGTTCCTTTGCCTTGCTCTTTACTCCTCTGCTCTCCTCGCTACAGCTTCATCCGTGCTGTCGCAAACATCGTCTCTTCGTCGATGCTTCCTTTTTGACGCGCTCAGACTACGCACGACACGTCTTCTCGTCTTCGAAACACAGTCGCCATGAAATTTTCCGCTGTGGTCGTCGCGCTTGCCGGCTTTGTCGCCGCGCAGCAAAATGCGCTACCCACGTGCGCTGTACGTCCCCCTGGTCCTCCTTGTCTCCCTCGTTTGCTAGAGTGCCAAAGATGCTCGCAGTCGCTTGTGATTCGTGTGCTGACGGCGGGATTGTGAATGATTAGCAAGGCTGCGTAAATCAATACACTACTGGCAGTGGCATTGCTGGCTGCAGTCAGATCGACGTCAAGTGCATCTGCTCCAACTCTGGCTTCCTCGACGGCATCGCATGCTGTCTCGCCGGTGCCTGTCCTCAAGCGGACCAGGAAACCGCCGTCAAGTACGCAAAGGACATCTGCACCGGCGCAGGCGTCACGGTTCCTGACCAAGTCGTCTGTAAGAGCGCCAATTCGACATCATCAGCCACCGCTTCGCAAACGACTGCCGCGGCGACTGGAGCAACGGCGTCCGCATCTGCTACCAGCACACCGAATGCTGCGTCTACAATGGGACCGGTTGCTTTTCTTGGAGGTCTCATCGCGGCCCTGGTCGCATTGTAAATTCGGATTGAAATTGGGTCTAGTTGTTGTAGGATTATGATTGGGAAGTCCGTCACAAAATGATAGACCGGTTCGGCTGCGAATGCCGCTCTCTTTTCCATCTCCCTCTCTCTCCCTCTCTCTGGTGGCTTCTGCAGATGGTCCGGGTTTGAGCGATACGGTGTTGTAATTACTGCTTCAGTTGAATAGTTGTAAACACTTTTTTCTACCTTCACAAATGTCAACCTCGCGAAGAATACCGGCTAGGCCGACATGACGGTGCGCAACGTTTGTCGCCATGGCCGTGAAGGGGAAATCACGGGACGATGACGCTGGGATGACGGACCGCCATTCGTTATATCAGATGCTTGGTGTCTGACATCCAAATGGTTCAATCGAGCCGAAACATTTTTCCGGCCGCGCAAATGACCATGGCCCGGCAGAACCGTGGCTAAAGGAGCTCACCAGTATCAAACGTTGAGATCCTTACAATTATCTGCCGAACGGTCAGCGAGGATGACGTGAGGAACGTCTGTGAGTCTCAAACCGTCCGTTCACCGAGCTTGTTCTGTGCACTCGTTCTCAAGCTGCATGATTTACTCCAAGGTTATTTTGGGTTCTCGATGAACCTTCTTTCAGGGATCTTGAATTTGCCCAAAACACCCTCAAGCCCCTCGAGTAAAATAGTCATGGAGGGGAAGCAAGCGGTGAGCGTGGATTAGTGTGTATGATCGCTTCCAAAACAACTTGACTACAACGTTTGCTGCAAGACGACATCAGGTGACTAGGCTCAAGGGTTGAATACATCATGGTTCGCTACCAACTTCGCGAGTGAGCGTCGGTTAGCAGAAGCAGAGAGTTACTGCCGGTGGTAACTCGGGACTAGGCTTTACAGTTAACTTCTGCTGACCGTCACAGGTGAGCGGACAAGTCCCCTTTTTGAAGTTGTCTCCGAATGTTGAAAGTACTGCCAGAAACGCGGCAACAGAGAAAGCTTGAGAAAATAGCCGCGTCATTCAGCATGATGCTCCCACTGACCGGGAGACCCCGTCGACGGAGATGAATTATTCGTCTTCACCGTCTCCGCCGTTCATGAGATGGAATGCTGTGATGGAACGGTAGCAGCCTTTACGGTGAAAGTAGATCGGGGTGTCTCCAGTTTTTCGGCGCCGTGTACAAATATGCCAATGTGAAGGTCGTTGGGAGGAGGAAACGTGCTTCCTCCCTGCCCATGTCTCGACGTCGTCCCGACTGAGCGATGCCTTATCCAGGCCAAGATATCCTATCTAATCTGATCGAGTGCGAGTTGCGGAGTTGGCAGAGAGGCTCTTGTGACAATGTCGTCGGGAGGCATGTCCAGCGATATGACTATGTTAATGTTGACAGCGACAAGAAGAGGCCGAGATTGTTTTCCGGCATGGGGGCCGGGTGGAGATTCTCTTCGGTCCGTCGTTGCCACAAACACTGTCGTGCATACGTACCCGCTACAAGAAGGGTGTCTTCGGACCCCGGGCCTTGACAATGGTAACCTTGCGGTGATGGGATTCCAAAATTTCCAGTATGCTATCGGCCGCCGACTACAAATGGCAGGCATGAGCTGATGATACACCGTCGAAGACTCGGCCCGCGGAGCTTGCATCCCCACAGAGGCACCAACAAAGCAAAGAAGCCCTCCACCAAGCCGAAGAACAGGCGACACTCGACAGACACGAGCCGCGCTGACACGCAACCACTGCCGTCTGCAATCTGTGGGTCTAGTTCGTCGACCTTGTCAGCCGGTTGGAGCTACGCGCGTTGGCGTGAAAATGTCAAAATTCGCCAGTTGTCTCAATTTGGTATAGGGAGATGCCATGGGGGGCGTGAGGCCGGAAGTCAAAGTACGTGCGATCTCGTGTGAGATTGGTAGCATGGCGAATGTGAATGGTACTACGTGGACTCTGATGGGTGTGATGTCGTGCCGTGGTACGTTGTCAATTTCACGACAGTGCGTCGATAGCCCACTTCTGCCTCTCGTCTGCAACTTTGTTACCGATATCGACTCGAACCTTCGTATTCCGGATATCCATTCTATGCCTAGAGACACTGCGGAATGGAGACGCACCCCTCCTCTCTCGCTTCTTCTCCATAAGGCGAGCATGGCTTCGAAGGCGAGCATGGCTTCGAGGTCGAGCGGTTTCTGCAAGACTCTCCACTTGCTGTCAGGCTTTTTTTGGGTTAACCCCGGCGCAAGCATACCTTATAATACCCCTTCTAGTCGATAGTTGCGAGCATGGGATAAGGAGACTTCGCCCGTCGGGTACCTGTCAGAAAGGACCTGGAACCACCATGATTCGCCCAAATCCCGATTGATGCGATCATCCAGCTTTGGCAGCCGCCGTGCAGGGAGCTGACAAGGGCAAGGGACAGGGAGATCAGATGAGGAATTTGGGGTTGTGGGTGTGGGGAGGAGGCCGGATGGCGCTTTGATCATTTCGAAGTCTGGTATGAAACCTCAGGGTGGGTTTGTCGACGAACGCTTTGACAATGACTCCTGGCTCTCCGGCAGGGGAGAGCAACAGCTCAAGAGCTGCAACGAAACATGAGTGTGAAGAAGGTCACTGGTTGCCAAGGAAGCCAGAGTGCAACGAGCGACGCCCGCACTCAACGGGGAAGATCGAGGCGAGGTGCAAGTATTGCTGGTTTTCTTAAACATGCTGTATATCGTGGTATAAATTCTTGGAGAGAAAACGGAGGGGCTTGCTTGGCTACTGTTTGCAAGGCGCTCCCCTTTGGCGGGTGCAAGATCGTCGAACGTATGCCGTCGTCCGCGTGGGCCCATCCATGTATTTTTGGTTGGTGGCTCTTCTCGAGTGGGAATTGTGGCTGTCAACCGGAAGTAAGCTCGATGAAGAACATACTCATTGACTGGGAAAACAACGGCTTCGCCGCTTCGCCGTACGTTCCGATTACTAGTGTACTGTCAAGCTCCTGACCCGTCAGCCTTCCCTGCTTTACGTTACGTTGGGCAACAGACATGGACCCATAGCCTCGAAAAACTGACCTTGGGGTAGCCCTGAATTTCGGTAGGACGCCTTGTATAAAACGCTGTTGCATATCAGGCACGGGATCTGCTGGCCTGGTCCAAGGTCGAGCTCGGAGCTGGGCAGAACGGGCGTTCAGTGTTTCTGCGAGAAACCAGTCGGAAGGTCGGAACTTTTCTGCTTCCCTGCTGCGTCATTGTTTGCCTTGGAAGCCTTCGATGCCTCTCTGTTGGCTATCGGTACAGGTACTCTCTATCTCTCCTGCGTACCGGTCCAAACAACGCCTCCAGTCCAGCCAAGTGCAAATCGATCACATACTGCGTGAAGAACTATTGCTGTTCTGGTCCGCTACGCAATTGCCAGTGGGATAACAACGTATTGTTCCACCAAAGTCGCATGTTCCAAGAGCATCGCTGCCATGGGATGAGACTTGCCCGAGCTGGTGGGCTTGTGCTAGTAGACACAGCGTCCTTGGAGGTACGGATGCTCTGTACATTACGAGGTGTAGCTACCCGGAGAGGAGAAGATGCAGGGTCATCATCTGTCAAATCCCATACGCCCCTCCCTTGGACGATGATTCTGCACGCCTGGATCTGGAACCAGACTTTTTAAGATTTTGGCAGGCCAGCCCGAGGCTCGGCAATCCTTTTGCGGCTGGTGTCCGTCTCTCTGGTACGACGTGACCTGTTGCAATTGTCCCCACGCAAGCCAACAACCGTCCCATAAAGCTGGTGTTGTCTGTGTGCGGTCGGATAGGCACTAAAAAAAATGGACGATGGCCTTGCATTTGCGAGGATGCCACAATAGCAAGCAATGCCCAGGGTCAATCATTGAGTTGATGGCGCGTCCTGCCGCTTTGTGCCCTTCTCCATCGTCGCTTTGTGCCCCTCTTGGGAGTGTCTAGTGATTTCCGTTCTTCTACCCGTACGGAGTACACCTGCTCATCTCCGATCTGTCCCAGATGAGATCGGCTTGCATCATGAACAGCATACCCTGGCAGAAGTTGTTCGTTGATGTCGACCGTATCAAATTGAAGGCAAAATACCTTGTCCTTCCAGACACCATCCAAAACAGGGAGGTTAAGTCAAGGCGTGGAAAGAACCTCGGAGCTCGACCGGTACGGCCCACGATAGTATTGGATGTGGATTCGGATTCCAACCCTCGGCAAAGGCTCTCTCAAATCATATCGTCGTGGCGTTACCGGCGTCAGGGGCGTTGATAATGATTGGACTTGTTCAGTTGGTACGGTGTACGCCAATTCTTCTGTATGCGACCGGAGTCACGTTTCCAAAAGAACGCCTGAGGGGCAGGCTTCCGTAGAGTGGGGGTCTAGTAAGCCACTGATCACTGACCCGATCATCGACGAGCACAGTCCCAATGTCTCAGACATGTTGTAACTTGTATCCGTACAGATTGGTAGGCATACCTACTCATCTGTCAAGCTCTGAAGCGATGTCAGAGTCAGACGGTTGGTCCAGGTGGCTGAAGGATGTTAAGTTCTTTCGACCTTGACGCCATGTCGTGGCGCCAAGTAGTAGGTACCGCGGCTCCGCCCTCCGGCTTCCGTTGACAACGCACTCCACTTTCCGCGAGACCTTTAATCTGCATCTGCGTTCTATCCATACGGAGTAAAGGCCTAACGTTGGCTGACCTGCCAGATTATTTGACTGAAGTCCAGTGCCCATGTATTTGTGTCCCGAGCCGCATGGTGTGCATGTGGACGAGGTGGGCCTCACAGGGCAAGCCGGGGTGAGCTTCCGAGTGCCGTTCCATCAGACACCGCTGTAAATAGACGCATGGTGACGCGATTGTCAACACAGAAAAGGCCTTAACAGACAGAGATATAGCGCAGGCAAGAGCGTCAAATGAGTTGATGTGGGCCACTGGAATACTGGGTGCGCCAGAAACCGTCGCATGGGTCGATCTTGGTTCAGTGGTTGTACGGATAAAGTGTCGATAGCACAATCCAATAATTGGCATGCTATTGCATTTGAGGATTGC